ATTTCACCAACGAATAGTGAGATTGACCGTCACATTATATCGCCCCCACGGCTGAAAGGGCGAGCATGTTTGGTGGGGCTGGGATTCGAACCCGCGACCCTCTGATTGCGAGTCGAGCGCCCTTACCACGCTCCAGTAAATACATGTCGTAAAGCTTCACTTGATCTGTATAATAAGTGTAGGAAAGATTGTTTGTTTTTGAATTTCGCGCAAAGCTACACGAGGGCTATCTGCGCTAATGTTATGTGTCGAAAAGAAGGAACTCGTATTTATAAAATAACTTCCATTTCCAACTTGTAATAACATTGTACAGATTCTAATGTTTAGGAATTGAGTTAAAATTATTTTGTACTGGTCGTTAAATTAGGATATTATAATTATTGGCTACTACAAGGCATTATCAATACGTAAATTTTATTTATTTACAATAAGAAAAAAACTGTTTTAAAATATGCTTTAAATGCCTAACTTTGCGTCTCTTTCGTTATCTTAAATATAACTCAAATATAACACATTCTAGCCCGGAATAACAAAGTCAAATATGGAGAATTATTTCATATTTCAGTATTGATATGATAACGCTCGAAAAACATTGAATATAATTATGTGCGATTAAAGTTTATTTTAAACGAATTAAGAGTCGTTAACCAAGCTACAAGTTACATAATTATATTCCAATCAAATATATCACAGCTGTAAAGGAAATTAATTGTCATTGTTAAAAGAAAGATATACGCACAGAGACAAGATGCCGGTGTATATTTGATTAAAATACCTTAATAAACGAACAAACGATAAGTAATAATGTTTGTTTCCTGCTCAACAATTACATTAATGAAACGTTAGTATCCATGACAATTGAAGTTTTAATTGAATAAATTTTGAGGACTTGTATATAAATTTAATAATATCATGTAACTTATACGAAATATGTTTTGTTTTTCTTAAGTTTATAAGCAAACTTTCCTGAATTGATACAACTTATTTTGTAATTTTACAAGAGTTGGGAATATTACCTCTTTAACGTAAATGTATCATCGTCATATTGTGTCAGTACTGTGTCTTTTTTCAAGACATACAGTATCTTCAGCTTGGCACCGTTTTAACTTGCTTATTAACCAAAACGTGTGAAATAAGACGTGTCTTGTAAGGCTTAGCGCTAAAAGTTAAAAATTGTTATAAGTGCGAATTAAAAATGTAAATACATAACAAAAAAAAATAAATCAAACATATCGATCTGTCTTTTTGTAGCCCTCAACAAATCGATATTAGTCTTATCGAGCCTTTAACTTTCTTTTGTGTGTGTGTGTATATCTTTCCAAAGAACCATACCCAGAAAGTTGTAATAGCAAATCAAATATTTCATATTCAATATATAATATTTTATTTGAATTTGGTTTCATACTATTACATTTAAAAATGGTGGTCGATGTAGGTAAAATTATGAAAATCTTATAAACGATTAATTCGTTTGTTTTCAAGACCTTTATCACTTGTTTCGACTGAATTTCACGCGCTGAGACTCATGCTAGTCAGCCTCCTTGTGTTTTTTGCTGATCTACATAGATAATATTTTTTAGCACCACAATGCTCAGGAGATCAATAATCCAAGCGGAACAAAACGCCACATGATTTATCAGCGTATAATGGTAGCTGTCTGATCAGTGTAGATGACGTAAAAAGAAGGAAAAGTGTGTCTCTAAACTCATTGCTTTCCAAAAACGAATTTACAGAGAAATAACATATTCTTCGTAAAACGATCGATCGCATGGTTATCAGTAATTTCCTGAACCCAGTAAAAATATTCTATTGTTCTCCAAGTTGATATTATTTAACTAAAATTTCACTTTTGCTTCTTATTGTGGTTCTCTCCATAAAAGGAAACCAATTAATAAAAGAAAAATGTAGATTGAGGCTTTTGAATAATCGTTATGTAGACAATTGAACCAGTGCAATTCTGTAAAATGATTTTTTTTTCATTTTACACCATTTACCACACCACACGTGACAACCATAGAACACAAAGCAACTGGGGTGTATTATAAGCTGCTCTTCTCTTGTTAAACAAACTTTTTGTGGCCGGTTCACCCTAGATTTCTCGATTTGTTCCTTATTTTCTTCACCAGTCACACATCACCCACTACAGTCCAACCCATGGACTAATATATTAACTTCCAAGAAGACATAATAGAGCTTAAGAACCCCCTTTTGCTAAAATTAGCTTTAGAAGACGAAACAGTAAGATAGTTTCCTCGCCTTGTTTGGGTTTTCTGTTAATATTTTGGGTTCTTCTTACAGAAAGTATTTGACGCTTTAATCTTATACTTAATGGAGGGACAACTGTTAATACCTTTCATTACTAAAA